TTTCTCTTAATTATGCATTTTCTTTTATCCACACCCATAATTGTGACTTCTGTACACAGACTTAAAATCAGTATGTATTTCAATGTGTGTATCTGTAGTGCACTGCCTATTATTTCCATGTAATTTCTTTAGTTTTACTGCGTGTATAATAATATTGGAGGGTAATTATAAAACATACTTCATTGGATAACATGCAGCAGGATGGGAAATTTAAACTTTTTTATACTTATGAGGAAATTAATCTGGAATGGACTGAAATAGAATGCTTGTTCATTGTTAGCATGTTTTACATAGCACTGGTACACAGTTTTGTGTGTACATATTTGTATGATCTATTACAGTAGGTCCTCATGTTGGCACTTCTGTTTTATAAATTGCAGATGTAAACCAGTATTTTAGGTCAGCTATCTTAAAAAATCTCTTGAGTAGAAGGAAGATTGAATCAGGTCACTGAATTTTGTGAACAGTACAATTTGCAATGGAAAATTTAAGTTACTGAGTCTTAGAGTTGGAGTTCTTAATATTCGGTCTTAAAATTTTATGCATTAGACATGCCATTTGTATTCAGATCTTAAGCTTGAAATTCTGCTGTGGTGTGTGTTTGTCAGCTTTACTCCATTGAATGAAGTCATACAGTCTGTTCTTTTCTTATAGATCCTTTCACAGGCCAGAGATAAATTGTGGGGATTACTTTAATTTTGGTTATGTGTGATGAATGAACATAAAAAATATGTGAAAAAGTACATTAAAAACCATCAGCAGATTTTGTTAAACCCAAATATGAAGTTGTGAATCTGCAACAATCTGGTTTTTTGGGTCGTAAAAAGCACTGCTGCTGTTGAAATAGAAAATTCTCAGTTTAAAGTGCAGGTGTGTTTTGTGTTTTAAAAGACCAAAATTTTCTTTTTATGCATCTGACTTAATATTATTGAGACAATATTTCTGACTTCATTACTGTATCTATTTACAGTATCCATCGAATAAAATAAGTACATTTTGAATTCATACTTAATGTGTATAATAATGCTGACAGAAGAGATTTTATTGTAACAGTAGTATGTGTACCATAGGTTGAGAAACGCTGGTTTAGAATATACCATTACGAATGCACAAGAGAATGAAGAAGAACCAGAAGTGAATGGCCTGATTCAGATACATTAGTGGATTTTAGGGATGAGGAATTAGTGATTGAACTGGCTTAGAATAGGATCCATAGTTTGGCTTTTGTTGTGGATGAACCAATGGGTTCCATAATAGGTACAGTATTTAGTTTTGTGATGTGAAGAGTTCTGCAAAAATTATATGAGGATCAACAGTGAATTTAAAGTTGAAAAGTATATTCAATTCACTTTATTTTACAGACTTGTAGGCTTCCTTGAAACCTCCATTTCATTTGAAATCCTACAATTCAACCATCTGTTTGTGTGTAATTAATTTAGATTCATACTTCATTCAGGAGCTTTTATATGCTTTGGTTTTTAGTTAATCAAACCAGAAGAAATGGTGAATCCAAACATGGATGAAATGTCAATGATGACATACCTTTCTCAGTATCCAAGTGCAAAGTTGAAGCCTGGAGCACCCTTGCGACCTCGCACTAACCCCAACAGGTAAACTTTTAGTCCACATGTATGCTCTGAATTGTAATATTAATCTTATTTGGCATTACATAAACATGATAAAAGTTATGTAGGGGGAAGCATATTGTAAATAGGGGCTATTTGAGGAAGGTAATTATGTACAAGTTTCTAGTAATGCCATGTCCTCTTTTAATAGCCTCTGAAATTGTAAAATCAATGTAGTTCTGTCATATTTATGTATTGCAACATTGCTTTAATTACTGTTATACATTTACAGTCCCCTTTCCAGTTCTTTTTTATGATGACACCATTACTTATGTTTCAGATACTTTTTTATAATTTACATTGGTTGAATGTAAGACTGATTAGTATTATTTTATAACCAGTTATCAACTATACAAGGGTTTCGATGTTAACATTGTTGTGGATAGTAGTCACATACTGATAAAAAGATCTTCCATTTTAAAACTGTCGAGTCCTAAAAGTCAGATACATGAAGTATGAAAATTGTTATTTATAATTTTTGGAATAAATCACCTATGTGCTGGGTGATTTGATGTCTGTAATGGTAAGTGTTTAGATGTCCATTCAAAAGGCACTTGGATAAAATATTAACTGGGCTACCATCTATACTGACTAAAGATTTTTTAAGATTTTCTAAGATTTTCTACAGTGTACTTTTAAATCAGTGAAAACATACATATTATGTACTGAAGAGTCATGTTTTGGGTTAACACACCTTTAATTCACAAGTTTATTTATGTTAATTTGGAATGTCAGGTTTTCAGCATAACTAAATTCCTATCAGATTTGTATTTATGTGAAACACAGTATTTTGAAAATGCTGTGATTTGCAATATCTGTGTAGGTCTTCCCAGTAATGTAATACCACATGATCTTGAGTAAAATAAAATTGTTCCTGGACTTAAACTTTTACCCATGTTAGCACTTACACTGTCAGTGTTGTAATAAAATGTTGGTATTGAAAGAGAACCTTAGTTATTTTCACATAATTTCCATGTTGTTGATACTGAAATATAACTTGCTGTTGTTTCTTTTGCAATCCTGAACTGCAGCATTCCTCCACCTCGGTAAGTCAGCGCATGTTGTTGTGCTTATTGTAGGGATGGTGTGTAGGAACAGCGTCATTTGAATAACAATGTAGTTTCAATAAGTGTATGCAGTCAAGCTATATGTTTTGAACTGCCACTGCTTGACAACAAGAACAGTTGGCATTTCAGCTTTCTACCTTTAATATAAAATTGAATAATTCCCAAAATAAAACTTAATGTCTCAGTTTAATAGGACAGTTGTAAAATTTCTCTACATTGATCTTAACTCTCTTATAAAAACAAAAATGTTTTAAAAATATACTGCAATATAATTGGCAAAATTTGATATGAGTTTCAAAAATACATGATCAGTTGTAAATTAGTATTGAGAATTTATTTACTGCTGTAAAGATTTAGTTTGGATAGAATTTGGTAGGCACAGCTGTTGAGTAGGTACTTGAGACTCTTTCTGTCAGGACAAAGAAACTGGGATGTGAGAGGTCCCTTGACTCCATCTAGTATTCAGATTAAGAATGAATGGTATTTTACCTTCATGCCCTTATACACCTTTCTACCCTATTTAAAACCTCGTGAATCTCATTTGGAAGTGACAAGACGAGATGACGACACCCTGTTTTCTGTGTTCAGATTGGGGGGGGGGGGGGGGGGG